ACCTATTGGCACAGAAAGGGCTGCAGCTGAAATCTGCATAAAGTTGTCAGTTGAAATGGTGTGAGAAATGAGTATGTTTGCATGTTTTCTTTGAAACTAGCTGCTGAGACTTGAAAGGGTGATAGGAAAGAGAGAAGCATCTGGTATAGTTCAGAATCTGCACATAGTTGGGTTTTGTTCATTCTTTTGTTGGCCGTGAGGATCCCAGGCAGTGAGTGCCACTGAGTAGAAGATGATGTGTGTGAATAGAAACAAGGCTGTGAGTGGACTAAGCACTGGGTGGAGGGAAATTGCACAGTCAAAGCCCCCAGGTCCCCTGCTGCTGATAAGCGTCTCTCACTGAATGGCCCCGTGTCCATGAGTGAGTGAGCAAGAGAGAAGGAAGAGCATGGAATAACCAGCTGGAAAAAAATGTGACTAGAGGCTATAACCTATTGCTGATAAAGAGGTTCTTCTGGAAGAGCAGCACATTTTTTTAAAAACTGGTGATGCCAAGAAAGAAGTACATCTGCTTCAAAAATCAATGTTTCTTAGCAGTTTAACTTCACACAATGTGAGTTAGAGAGGCAGACATATGCCTCCTTGGCATGAACGCCTAAATAACACATGTATGTTCATGGTATTTTGTCCCCCAGGCCAGACTTTTACCCTCCAGCTTATGAGGAGAGCCTGGATGCCGAAAAACAGACCTGTCCTGCGGAGGGAGAGGCCTCTGACATCCCCCCACCTCTCTATACGGAGACTGACCTTGAATTCCAGGATGAAAATCACACCCACCCCAAGGCCCCACCATCGTATGAGGAGTCCATCGCCGACCTGGTGGCTGCAGCTGCATTGGAGGATGCTGAGAGGCAGAGCCCAGAGTGCCCAAGGCAGGGAAGGCTGACCTGCACACCTGACGTGCCCTCGCAGGAGGCAGCTGCTGGAAACAAAGGCAGAAGAGGGACGGTGGGAGGAAAAGCCATGCCTGAGACCCTGCCCGAGAACTCGCCAAGGGGATGCTGTGTGTGACAGCATGCAGTTCCACAGACGTGCTGAGCCGTGCAAGGGCAGGTGAGGCCCTGGAGGGTGTGGCCAGCACCAAGCGGACATTTCAGAGGATTCCCACTAGGGCCATCCCAGGCCAGCCTTGGCCCGCAAAGGCGGTGTTGTGCGAGATCTGCTCACACAGAGGCTTTCTGCTCTCGCTCAGCTCCCCTCCCATCACCTCAGCCCCAAACAGGGGGAACAGATGCTGCTTGTCGGGACAGCCACGTGCCTTCATGTGCGCCATTACCTAGTAATCACACAGGGAAGGTATGCTGGAAAGGGAGGTCATTGTTTAATATGTGGGTTGCTCAGTGTTTTGTTAGCTGGTTTCATAGCTGCCCCCAATTGGCCATACTGTCTGAGTGACACAGTGATCCACATGGCAGGACACCTGCCCTTGGAACCTATGAATGTTATTTTGTATTATTTTGTTTTAATTATGTGTATTTTCTATATGAAAAAAAGTGACTAATATTTGCTTTCAAAATGGTTCAAACACAAAATATTAAATGAGTTATTTTTTAAAGAGGTTCTCATACAAGCAGGTCTGATAAGATTTCTTATAGACTCAAATTGAATAGACAGAATACTTAAAATACACAGAATTCAAGAGGGAAAAGAATTTGTACTAGCCACGGATGGTATTAACATACAATTTGATATAGTTCTTGTCAGTTTTTAAAATATTTATATATAATTCAAAGAATCTCCCTGCAAATCTCTAGAATTTGAAAGATAAGAGACTTTAATGATGTACTTCACCACTAACAGGAAATTCTTTGTATCACAAGATAAAGATCTTGACTTTTGGACTTGATACATTTATTTTCAAACCTAATGTATCATCCTTAGCTTTCTTATATTTTACTGTATTTTTAATACAAGAGGGCAAGTCAGGTGGCAGGGTGGTGGAAACAGAGGCAGACTGATGCTTTTGAACTTGAGCAAGGATCTTCATCTCTCTGGGTCTCAGTTTCCTCCTCTACCAAGTGGGGCATTGACGCTGGCATTGATATTTTGTAGTTATGGAATGCCTTTTATATGGCCGGCTCTGTGCTGAACTTTTCATACATGTTAATTAGCCCTCATTCCATTTTTAAAAGATAGGTGCTATGATCATTCCCATTTTACAGAGGCATAAAACTGAGGCTTCGAGAAGTTAAGAAACCTGTCCAATAGCACATAGTGACTTCCAGGAGGGTGAAGAAAGGTCCTCGGACAAGAAAGTATCTATTTACTTCAAATTTCTGTGCTAGGCTAGCTTCATCTTACTGCCCTCCTTCTAGGGAGCAGTTTGGATTTCTCTCTGCTTCAGAAAATGGGCCCTAACAGAATGGACAGCCTCAGGTTTGCTGCAATATCTTAAAACTCTTGGTGAGACAGCAGAGGTTGCATTAGGGTTAATTAGGCTTCTCTTTTAGAATGCAAATAAGCCTGCCATGTTTTCTGCCTACAGGCTGGGCCTTCACCTCATCGTGTATGTCCCTTAACTTGATCATTATATTGATGATGAAGGATGGTTTCTAATGGGCGACAGCCTTGGTGAAAGGGCACAGGGAGGGCTTTGGACAGTTGGAGGGAAGGATGTAGATCTTTCAAGGAGGAAGAGGGTTGTCAAGATGGGATTTAGCCTCTGTGGCCTCCTCGTCCCCATCATTGCTAAATGCACAGATAAAGTATTTCCTGACAAATAAACAAAAAGCCACATAAAAGGAAATCCTGGTCCATGAATCATTCAATTGGGAATCTCTGATTTGAGTCCTTGATATCGAGGGCATAACTGGATGTGAAGGTCACTCATGGTTGTCCAATAGGAAGGTGATCATTTATTAACAATGCAATTTATTATTTCTCTCTAGTGACAGTTATTCTGAAGTTTTCCCTGGGGGTCTGAGCACATTAACTGAACTAAACAAGCAATACCATCAGGCTTTCATCCAGAGTTTGCATTTGTTGTAGAGAGATTTTCCAACTATAGGTAGGCAGGTGAAACAAATGTTAATTTTGGTTTACATAAGAAATTGTTTTAATCCCTTTACTGCAATGAATTTCGTACTTAAACTTTCTTTTTTGCCATTTTTTTTTNTCGATTTTTTTAGAAAACATATTACTCTGAATCAAGCATCAAGAACATGGGTATTATCCAAAACAAATCCTACATTTGCGAGGTCCAGCAATGAAAATCAATGGGCAAGTCGGACAAAAGTGTCCTACTGCAGTTACTAGTAATACACTGGTCGTCCCCTGGAGGATTCACTCATGGGAAATAGATATTGTATCTCCTCTTCCTCTCTGGTTTATGATGAAATGAATGGTGATGGATTGGGGACCATATTTCCATGAATGGTGGGGAGGGCACTTAGAATATGCAGAAGTGGAAAAGGGAAAGTCTCCACTGGAGAGAGTTTTTGGTCATTCCCTCCTCTCACGTGTGCACAGTAGGCTCACATGTCAATGGGGAAGGGAAGTTCAGAGGTAATGAATGTCCAGTAGTGTAATTCATAATGTCCCTTTGAGCAGCAAGTTTAAATAATCACCACCATGACCCCAGAAGATGAGGATGCCAAGGTCAGTTATAGAATAAATTATGCTGCATCTTTGCACACCTGAGGTGTACTGTGGTCATTTTCCACTCCTCCATGCAAAATCTCACAAGTGCTCTACTGACCTATCTATTCATCCTTCAGGATTCTTTTTTGTTTTTTAAAGATAACTGGGGATCTTAACCCTTGACTTGGTGTTGTCAGCACCACGCTCTCTGAAGTGAGCTAACTGGCCATCCCTATATAGGGATCTGAACCCATGGCCTTGGTGTTATCAGCACCGCACTCTGTCATCCACATGAAAGTAGCACAGCATCAAGATGAGTTAGTCTTTCTGCAAACCCAAACGTTAGGGAACACCAACTGTTGATTCAGAAAATAACCTGGGTGTTTCTTTTTGAAAAGAACCAATAGGCACTTATCGATTTTTTTAGAAAACATATTACTCTGAATCAAGCATCAAGAACATGGGTATTATCCAATACAAATCCTACATTTGCGAGGTCCAGCAATGAAAATCAATGGGCAAGTCGGACAAAAGTGTCCTACTGCAGTTATTAGTAATACACTGGTCGTCCCCTGGAGGATTCACTCATGGGAAATAGATATTGTATCTCCTCTTCCTCTCTGGTTTATGATGAAATGAATGGTGATGGATTGGGGACCATATTTCCATGAATGGTGGGGAGGGCACTTAGAATATGCAGAAGTGGAAAAGGGAAAGTCTCCACTGGAGAGAGTTTTTGGTCATTCCCTCCTCTCACGTGTGCACAGTAGGCTCACATGTCAATGGGGAAGGGAAGTTCAGAGGTAATGAATGTCCAGTAGTGTAATTCATAATGTCCCTTTGAGCAGCAAGTTTAAATAATCACCACCATGACCCCAGAAGATGAGGATGCCAAGGTCAGTTATAGAATAAATTATGCTGCATCTTTGCACACCTGAGGTGTACTGTGGTCATTTTCCACTCCTCCATGCAAAATCTCACAAGTGCTCTACTGACCTATCTATTCATCCTTCAGGATTCTTTTTTGTTTTTTAAAGATAACTGGGGATCTTAACCCTTGACTTGGTGTTGTCAGCACCACGCTCTCTGAAGTGAGCTAACTGGCCATCCCTATATAGGGATCTGAACCCATGGCCTTGGTGTTATCAGCACCGCACTCTCCCAAGTGAGCCATGGGCCAGACCTCAGCCTTCAAGATTCTACTTAAATATATTGTCTTTGGTGAGGCATTGTACCAGCTCGCCTACACCACAGGGCACATACTAGGAGCTAAAAGGCATGGGAAAATGGCAAGTACATGGCTTATAATCCATATCTTCACTGTGTTCTATAAAGGTCCATGACATCCTAGGCTGACTCAATAACAAGTATGTGAGTCAACTGCATGAGCTGTTTCTACTGATAAGGACTCCAGCTGTTTGGAGTGGAACAGGCATTCTGCTAAGCTCTGCTGCCTCAGATAATCTCTTGCTGTTTGTAACTGACGGAGGGCCAAAGACTGACTTATTGGCAGTTACATCATTTCCAAAGGCGCACAGTTTCTCAGACCCTTCTACACTCAGGGATGGAAATCTCCTCAAGGCAGGTGTCTGGGCTGTCAATGTCCACGTGTTTTGAGAGAATCTGGCACATGATCCAGCAATGGAATGGAGCATCCTGTTATTCTATCAGCAGTTCCCACAGGTGTTTTTCAAATTCCCCACACCCATGTCTTACACTGACTTACAGGTGGCCAATCAGAAGTCACCATACCATTGTCCCTGCCATGGCTCAGTGCAGCCAACTCTCAGCCCAACATGCCACCATGGGACCATGCATAAATCTGAGGCTTCCTGTGCAGAAAGCCTTCATGTCATGTCCAAGCCCTTCAGCCTATGATGTTATGCAGCACTGTGTGTCCTACAAACACTGTGGATGTGTGCTGTTCCTTGGATCAGTAAGATTTAATAAATAAGCTCATTTTAATAACAGCTGCCTAACCATTTTCAAGGGCAGCTAATAAACTTAAGAATCCTGGATGAGAAAACAATGTTTTGTTCTGGGAGACAGGCTGGCACCTGGCAGGATATGTAGCATCCTTTGTCCCCTCCCACTAAATGCCTCCCTGGCACATACACACACACATTTCCAAGCCCCCCAGGGTGGGTGGCAGTACTGCTCTGGTTGAGAGCCAATGCATTATGCATAGTGTTACTTCCCAATTTCTGGAGGCACATGGTATAGTGAGTGAAACCCTCAGTATATCACCAGAGTGACCCTGACAGTTGCCACCCTCCATCTATAGTCTTTTCTGTGATTGACTCTTCCAATGCATTATGCATAGTGTTACTTCCCAATTTCTGGAGGCACATGGTATAGTGAGTGAAACCCTCAGTATGTCACCAGAGTGACCCTGACAGTTGCCACCCTCCATCTATAGTCTTTTCTGTGATTGACTCTTTTGATTCCCATAAAATTCCTGAATGTCTCAAGTCATTTACTCCCAAAGGTGGGTTGCCGGAGCTCCATCTTTAAGAACATAAAGAACATTCTGTGGGGAAGACTGATTTCCTGTCTTTCACCTCTCCTGAGAATCAGGCAAGAGGACATACACATACAGTTCAGCGATAAACTTGGATTTTATGTAAGGCAGAAATAATACCTTCGGCAGCATGAATTTGAGCAGGTTCCAGAGAGAGGCTGTGTCCTAGAGCCACTGAAGGACCTTCCCTTTGGCAAAGTAGCTGAGAAAAAGCTCTGTAAAAATAGGTGGCTGTGCAGCTGCTGCTTTCCACGGTGGGACCCAAGCATTTGCTTCACCCGATATTTATGACATGGTGTCTGCTTCAATCCCACCCGTCCAAGCCAACCTCCACTGGACCCAAAGCAAGCCTCCTCTCCAGCCATCCTAGGTCTCAACGCCTAGTCTTTCCTCTTGCTACCTTTACTCTGTGAAATTATATACATGGTTACAAATCCCAAGAAACTCTACCATGCCTAGTGTCCCACCGTCCCTGAGTCAATCACTCCCCTCTCCGTATATTCTCACAGCACATTGCTTGTGCCTTTGCTGTAACATTTTTGTCCACCTGATTATCCATGTATGTTTGTCACAGCCTCCTGTTCCCAAATTATAAACTCATAAGAGCAGGAATAACATTTTATCCACCTCTCTGCTGCATCTAAAACAGGACTATGCCTGGAGTAGCTGCTCAAATGATGTTTGCTGAGTGAATGAATGAATAAATGTATCGATGGGTGAATGGGTGAATATATATTTACTCTACTGAATACACATAACTCCATATTGAAATAAAGAAACAGAATTTTTAAGTGAGGACTAATTTACATTTGAACTTAAAAGTTAGAGATGATTACAAGTTCAGCAACTTGAGAAAAAGTAAATATTTTCTTACCTAGAATTGATACACCTGAGAATGCATCTGATTGTCCTGACCAACACATCCATGATTAATTAATGAATGGCTGTCATGGGCCTCTGCGTAAGAAATGATGAGAACCAAAGCTGTAGGCAAATTTTATTTCATTGGTGATAAATGTCATACTGGTTCTTTAGAATCTCAGCTTGAAGCCACCTTCCTATTATTTTGAAATGAAGACAGTCGCAATGAAAGACTAGGTGCCAGTTTAGTTTCTGTTGACTCTCAAAGGCAGTTTTGAGCAATTCATTTTTTCTATTCCATTTATTTAATAGATTCCCTAAGTCATAATAATGAAAAACAGCCCTTGCAAGTATTCCGAAAAGCAGATTTTTCAGTATAGGTGATCACTACTGGAGTTTCTCAAATGGCAAAACAAATAAGCAAAAACCCATGATCCTTGAATAAAGTTGAAATAAAGAATTTCTTTTTTATTGGCTACTAAATGTCCTAGCAAGTTTCTGACAAGAGCATAGACAGAAAATGGAAACAAATGCTTTACTGGGAATGTTTCCTTGCTTGCACTAACCTTGGCTACAGCAACAATGCATTGCTTAAGAGTCAAAGTGCACCAGATGATCTCTGCAAATAACATGATCAGTGAGTGTGCCGTTCCCAAGGAAGCAAAGCAGATGCAAACAGGTCCCATGCACAGAGTGTTCTGGCTGAGGACAGATAAGGCTGCTAGAGCTACAATATCCTTTTCCCAGGCAAAGAAAGCCAGAGGTGACTCTCCTCTTCTCAGCAGGAGTCCCCACCAGCCTCTCCATCCCATCAGGCCCATAAGTGTATCACTAGTGATATTTTCCTCCAGCACCCACTTCATTTCCTACTTTTACAGTGTTTCATCCTCTCCTTTCACAGCCATTACAAGATCAGAACTGTGCCAAACAAGTGCATTAAAATAGGTCCTTACTGGGAAAGTCAGAAAGATGGTGTGACATGGTGGTATTCCTCTCCTTTCACAGCCATTACAAGATCAGAACTGTGTCCACACAAGTGCATTAAAATAGGTCCTTACTGGGAAAGTCAGAAAGATGGTGTGACATGGTGGTATTTTTGTCTTCTCAGGACAGATTTGTATAAACCCATGTATCGACCTATGTGATGTAATCAAGAAAGGGCCCCCCAAATTTTAAGCATTCATCTGCAGAGTCTTGTCAATAAACTCCTTCCCACCTGCACAATGGATGGCTGGATTTGAAGGAATGCAGCCAACTTAATAGCTAACATAATATTTACAAAATAAGAAAGGAAAAACACCCTTTGATATGCTTTGTTGGAAGCGTGCCATTGTGATCTGTAGAAAGTGTTAGATGTGAGAGAAGGTCGGGGATGGGATGGGGGGAGATTGGGCCATCAGGTGGTTGACAGGAGCAACACGGGCTATTAGCAGTTGTAAAACCTTTCCCCAGTATAGACCTGACGTAGGAGGAAAAGCTCAGTCCTCCTCCATGCTGGGGAGTGTCTTTTCTGCCTGCCCAGGTCTCCTGTGGCTTGGGATCAGCTTAATTCTGGCACTGCTCTCTCTTTCACTATTTCAGAACCTTTTCTCATGTGGTACCAATGATGCACAGATGCTACGATGAACAGTTTTCTGGCCCACTTACTCCTCTCAAAAGGGGAGGTTCCTTCATGTGATAAAACTTAATTCTGGCACTGCTCTCTCTTTCACTATTTCAGAACCTTTTCTCATGTGGTACCAATGATGCACAGATGCTATGATGAACAGTTTTCTGGCCCACTTACTCCTCTCAAAAGGGGAGGTTCCTTCATGTGATAAAATATAGATATCAACCAATAATGCAGCTTTAATAGACAACTAAAGACCAGACCCTGTTGCACTGGGAGGAACTGGAAAAAAACCAAAACAAAATGGGTTGTTTTCTTTTCCCACCCACCCCCTCCCCCCAACAGCAAAATATCTTTTGTTTTTTCCAAAGTCATAAGAGGCACAAACAGGTAGCAAGAAGGCTTTGGTGGAGCATCCCGCCGAGCACTCTCTTTGGCCCTGGTGAGTGATCTTTCCTCCGTTCAGGTGATGACGGTGGGTCCCCTCCGGCCAGTTCTCTCATGAATCTGGGATATTTTCAGCGCGATGGCTATGAGAGGGCTTAGCACTGCCTGGAAAAGGAGGAAGAAAGTCTGTGAACAACCATGTCCTGATCACAGGATGGGCCACTGTGATGGATTTCTATCATGAGCATCTGGATTCAAATTCCAATTTGCTGCTTACAGACAGAGTCCTCTCTGGACCTTTGTTTCTTCCTTCATCAAATGGAGTAGGCAGGGCAGGGCAGTAGGGGGAGAGCATGATCTCCAAAGTCTTAAAAAAATTATCTAAGATAGGAAAATGCACAACCCAACTACCAGAACACTGGAGCATTTCACGAACGGAGCAGTGTGAGTTGTGGAAGTTCAGAAAACCCGCAGTCTTCCTCTGCTACACACCCCTCCCCCCTGCAAGTTACATCTCCCACCCCCCACCACACACACATGCAACTTGAGGATAAAAGCTCATTCTCCATCTAAGACCATGTGTCTAAAGAATCTACAATCCCAGTGTTTCAGAGAAGACACACCAGTCCACTGGCGAATGCAACAGAATAACTTATCATTTCTTCCCATCATATGACGCTGTGGCTCGTGGGGTACCTCAGTGTTCCCTAGAAGGAGGTGAGGGTGGTTTAGAGGCCTAAGAAATAGATTCTTGGAAAGGTGGAGGCCATGAAGAGGAGTAACGATCATTTCTTGCTTATCATATCACAGGAGGGAAGCACTGGGTTCCAAAGTGTGGAGCACATACCATTCACGATTTTTTTTTCATGATGGTGCGTGGACATGGTTTTACTTACAAAACAGTGAGAAGGTTGATATATTTTCCATTCTTCCTCAATCCTGATTTTTTTCCAGAAGAAACTGTTCACTACCAATCTTTAACAACACAGTGCATACCTCGGGCGAGAGTTGCTTAGCTAGAAGGTAATGACTGTATGTTTTCATTGAGTTCATTTTTATGGTGCACTATCAGGTGGTATTGTTTTTTCCATGTTAAGCACTGATGTAAATTTTCTATACTAAATAAATAGATTGAAGTGAAAACAAAGTGAGTTCATTTAAAGTCAAATACTAATATAGAGATACTGATAGAAAAGAAGTTTGGGCAATACTAGGGTAAGGGAGGAAGACACAGGATTTCATAATTCAGGAAAACGGAGGCTGTATTCTGGGAGGCGGGAGGGGAATTCTGTTACTTGCAACCCTAACCTATTCCTATCAGACACAAGCATGAAGGAGTGGACACATTCCAAGTCAGACAACAAGAACACAGGCAAATATACAGGGTACGAGACAGCACAATAGTCCCATGTGTCCTGAGTGCAGGGTAGACCCAGAGGAGCCCTGAGAGATAAGTGAGCCAACCCTGTTTGCAGAAACCTAAATGCTAGGGGGAGGTGTCAGGATTTAACTCACTAGGCAAGGGGGGAGATTGAAGCGTTTTGAGAGGAAAGGTGACACTATCAGAGCTGTGCTTTGGAAAGATTGATCTGGCAGCAATTCCAGCCCTAAGTGTGTTAAATTATCCTACTCTGTGAAGATGATGAGGCAGAGGAGCTGGGATATGATCTTGGAAGCTAGAAGGGAGGTGAAAATCAAGAGCCATTTCTCAACCACACAAGCAAGCAGCACTTTCCTCCCCCTTCCACTTCCACAAGCTTGATTTATAAAAACAGAAGGGTTTCTTTTCCACTTAATAACCCGGCCGGTGCCCAGAAAAATTTCATATTGGCATATTTTGCCAGGACAGATTCCATGTGATGCCCAGATAGGGGCGTCTCGACTTTTTAGGAGCCAAGCACCCATTTTGCATACAAATGCGATTACTCGCTTTTGCTCCTCTTCCTGTCTTCTCTTCCCTCTTTCCTGCTCCTCCTTTGTTAGCTAGATAATCTTTCATTAACACCTATAAAAAAAATAAGACCAGGACAGGAAGAGTGAAATTAAAATCAATCAATTTAACTGAGGTCCTAGACGGTGAATGAAGAGAAACATATAATATCCTATTACTTTAAGAAAATACAGTGAAATTGACTTTGAAACAGAGAAATGAAAGGTTAAAACATTTTGTTTTACAACATTGTGAATTTTGAGATTAAGGATTTTCTACATCACATCTTTAAGTAGTGGTATCTGTTGGCAAAAGGGTAGGAGAGCATAGTTTTAACTGAGGCTGTAAATACAGGAGAAGTTTTCTTTACTGATCTCCACTTAATTCTGCAGGTTGACACGTGTTTTCCATTTCTGCTGTAAAACATCCTGACTCAGTCCGCAGCACACTGGATGTCTGTGCCCAATAGATCACTCTTAACATGCTCATCCCCTCTTGCCTTTAGCAGCTGAGTTGTGCTTATCACGAGTCATCCGTGTGTTCCTAAACAGGCTAATGCCTGTTGGACTCCTGACCGAGACTATGTGATCTAATTACATGTAAACCAATGGAATGTGAGTATAAACAGGAAGAGTTTTTCTCTTTGAAACTTAAGTTGAATGTGTTGGAAAAAATAGGTAATGGTGATGAAGTAATGCCCTCTTTTCTAAGAGCAGGACCAATGCCACTTAGGATAGACCCTCCATTGTGTGAGAGTTAGGCAGGAAAGTGGGGGTGGGATGGGAGGAGCTCCGCTAACTGCAAAATTAGCTCACGTACTGTTGGCTTGCTTGCATTGGCTAATACCTCTTGGTGTAGTGACTGGGCAACCGAGTTGCCGTGCTTGCAGCTTTAAAAACCGAGAACAAAGATGGTTCAGGGCCGCACCTTGAATTGGCTGGTGCAGTCCCGGCCACTGGAAATAAAAATCTTTTTCTCTTTTTTATATCAGTCTCCAAGGGTGATTTTCTCCTGATGCCTATAACATTGATTAGCTAGTCCTGTCAAATTAGATGTGGGTGAGACACCATAAGATATTGGGGAGTGATGGAGTTTAGATGTGTTGTCCCCTCCAAAACTGATGTGGAAATTTGATCTCCAATGTGGCAGTGTTGGAAACTGATTGAGTCATGGGGGCGGATCCCTCATGAATGGATTAATGCTCTCCCTGGGGGAGGGGGGTAGTGAGTGAGTTCTCGCTCTTAGTTCCCGCAAGAGCTGGTTGTTCATAGGACCCTGGCATCTTCTCTCTCTCTCTTGCTTCCTCTCACCATGTGATCTTCTTGTACCCGCCAGCTGCCTGCCACTTTCCACCATGAGTAGAAGCAGCCTGAGGCCCGTGCCAGATGCAGCTCTCCCAGAATCATAAGCCTAATAAACCTCTTTTCCTTATAAATTAGCCAGTCTCAGGTATTTCTGTTATAGCAACACAAAACAAACTAAAACAGGGAGAAATCAAAAAAGTATAGAAAAGTTGTGTCCTCAGGTTGCTTCACAATTGTCTTTAAGTTCCTGCTGTACAATAAAGGAATCAAAGACGGACATTATAGATGATGAAGTATGGGTGGGAATCTTTTGAGGGAAGAGAATAACAACACCAAACAGGACGCTCATATCCAAAGAAAAGGTCTTGGACCAAAATTAAGAGATTGGCAAATGAACGTACATTTATGTTCTATGCTAAAAATACAGTGGTCAAGATATGTATGCATTTAATGACCTCTTTCAACTCTCTTTCTGGATTAATGAACTAAGCACTTGCCCCTGGCCCTGATCACGTCAAAGAAGAGGGCTTCAGTGGTCATTATGCAAACTGAAGGGAAAGAAACACATTTTTGGAAACCGCACATGAGGAAGACCCTAAACAGCAGGACTCCCATCCTGAGCAGAGCCCCAGGCCGACCTGGCATGGAAGCCCTGGAGGCATCTGCCTCCAAGGAAACATGAGGGGCTTGGAAAGAAGCACATCAGTGATCAGGGCCATGGACTGAACATTAATGAGGTTCTTCCACCCATTTTCCAGGAACCATGGAGCTTGTTTAGACTTTGCATGATCCTAGGCGGTCCTGGGGAGAGGTCCCTAGAAATGCCCAAGATTAACTTTTTTGCCTGCCAGCGTAAGTTAATCTCCCACGTTTTAAGGGTAATAAGTAATTTTTTCTTCCCTGAGTGTATAAAGTAAATATATATGTGCTGGGATGAACGGCCACACCATGAGGGCAGAGACTTTGTCTTATTCAGGGCTTAGAAAAATGCCTGCTGCTTAGGAGATGCTTGGTACATACTTGTGGAGTAAATGAGTGATATGTCAGCTTGATGAAAAGATAGTGAGGCCCATAGAGGCTTTTGTGGACATTCATGTAGGGCATTCTGGACAGGTGGGAGGATCAGCAGTGCTGGATCTTTACTGTCATTTTGTTTTTAGAAATCACAGCTTTGATACAGGTAAATCTAAGACACTACTCTCATATCATCAACTGAGAGAGAGGTGGGGGGGAAGGAGTGAGAGAGGGAGAGAGAGATGGGGAGAAAGAGACGGGAAGAGAAAGAGAGGAATTTTCCTGATGCGACTGGAGAGACCCTAGGAAGGGGGAGGAGTTGAAAACCAGAAGCCTGAGGATGTGGAATTTCAGAGCTGGAACTGGAAGCACAGAGTTTGAAAAGCAGAGAGGAATGTGGGTGGGAAGATCTAGTTTGATGTCACAGACGGGGAGACTGAAGCCCAGGGAGGAGACATGACTGACCCAGGGTCACACATCTGCTTAGTGGCTGAGCTGGAATGAGAACAAAGACATGCCTCCTCTCATGCTCTCTCCATCATGCAATTCTGAACATAAGACCTGTGAGTGACAAGGAAACACAGAGAAGACAAAGTGAGCCTGAGACGAAGGGTGGGAGAAACAGCAGGATCTTCATCCCACTGCTCCAGACAAGTCCCATGTCCCACGAGGGCTCAGGCAGGACTGACCGGCCGTCCCTTACTGACCAAGAGCAGGTGGGCAGAGGCGAGAAGGGGTGTCCCCAGTTAGGTGGGTTATGTGACTATACTGGAAGTTCCAAAATGACTCTTTGTGAATAAAGGAAATAAATTAATAGACATTTTAATCAGTTATGTTAGAAATATAGCATCTTTTTTCCAATTCCAGTGCTTCTTAGAGTCCTTGCCACAGCTTTTCTACAGTCAAGAGCAGGAAAC